GCCACTTTAAACATAATAAATAGTTTAAATAATAACACACAGGTAAAAAAAAAAGATAAATAAAACGTCCACGTTTAAATTAAAATGTAATCCTAAAAGTTCATTAAAAATGGCATTGTTCTTAAAAAGTTAAAAGAAAACTGCTGTACTCAAATGTAAAGTATTATCATAAAGTAGCCTACAGTATTCATCAAAACCTGCAAATGTTTCTTGGACCTCATGAATATAGGTTATACCGTATGTCATAATGTTCATTTATAACTCTGTTTGATACATTTTTTAATATATGACTTATTTGTATATCTTTGAAATCTAAACGTTTACTTGTATTTTGAATATATGAATTGGATTTACATATTTAAATTAGAAATTAGACCTGCTTTGAACAGTATAGAACATCTATACACACTCATTCACACTCATACACTATTTAGCCTACCCAATTCACCTGTACCGCAAGCTTTGGACTGTGGGGGAAACCGAAGCACGCAGAGGAAACCCATGTGAACGCAGGGAGAACATGCAAACTCCACACAGAAACGCCAACTGACCCAGCCAAGGTTCGGACAGCGACCTTCTTGCTGTGAGGCGACAGCACTACCTACTGCGCCACCGCGTCGTCAAGCCAAATATTTAAAAATATATATAATTTAATATAAAAAATATATGAATAATTTAATATAAATTAGAATATAAACTTAAGGGCGACTTAGTGGCTCAGTGGTTAGCACTGTTGCATCACTGCACAACTAATTTAGCCTGAGTGTATGAGAGTGTGTGTATAGGTGTTTCCCAGTACTGGGTTGTGGCTGGAAGGGCCTCCGCTGCGTAAAATATGCTGGAATAGTTGGCGGTTCATTCTGCTGTGGTGACCCCTTATTAAAAAAGGGACTAAGCTGAAGGAAAAAATAATAAATTAATGAAAAATAGAAAATTTGAGCTCAAAAATAGCTCTATTGCGGAGAATCAGTGCATCATCCCGTAAACGATTCTTATGAACAAATTGTTCAAACGAATCGATTCACCCAAATGAATTTAACTTCACAATCACAGTAACGGAGCTGCTCGTTGGAGGATCCCCACCCGTAAGCATGGCGGTGTGTTAGTGTGTATGTTTGTTCATAAACACTGGAGAGATATGGAAAACGCCAACAGGCGCTGCGACTGCTCAACATAACCGGAATATAACGTGCTTTGTGTCTGCGCGCCGGTACCGGAGGCTGTCCGCTGGGTATCTCCATGCACTCTTTGTTTGTTTACTCAAGTAATATGGTGAGCTGAGCTGAAGAAAAGCACAAGTTATTGCTGATAGCATCACCCATCCGCCGTTTCCCCGTACTAGTGCATTAATCGCCGGTGATCATGAGGCGCTGCCGCGGGCTCGTTTAAACGTTAATCGACACGTTTAAACGCCGCAAAACATGATCGTCATCATCGATATCATGAATGTGTGACTTTATTCTGATTTTTAATTTCCATCCGGAGAGATGCGCGAGTATAAAGTGGTGGTCCTCGGGAGCGGCGGGGTCGGTAAATCCGCGCTCACCGTGCAGTTTGTAACCGGGACGTTCATCGAAAAGTACGACCCGACCATCGAGGATTTCTACCGTAAGGAGATCGAGGTGGACTCGTCGCCGTCGGTGCTGGAGATCCTGGACACGGCGGGCACCGAGCAGTTCGCGTCCATGCGGGATCTCTACATTAAAAACGGCCAGGGCTTCATCCTGGTCTACAGCCTGGTGAACCAGCAGAGCTTCCAGGACATCAAGCCCATGAGGGACCAGATCATCCGAGTCAAGAGGTGAACGAGTCAGTAATAAGTCTGAGGTGTATTGACATGTCAAAGTGTGGGCAATGCTGTTAAAGAGAGAAATATACTGCAAATATTACACTGATAAGGGGTTTAAGCACAGTTGTGTGTCAACAGTGTGTGAATATCACCATCCGCTAATAATAAACATGAATTAATTTTATTTATTATAGCCACACTTGATTAAAAAGACAGAAACTACAAACGAATAATTGTAGTAATAGTAGTCATAGTAGTTATTGAATAATTGTAGTAGTCGTCATCGTAATAGAGATATTGAATAATTGTAGTAGTAGTCGTCTTAGTGGTTGTAATATTGGATAATTGTAGTCATAGTAATTATTGAATGATTGTAGTAGTTGTCATCGTATTGTAGTCCTTGTTATAGTAGTAATGTTGAATAATTGTAGTAGTTGTCATCGTATTGTAGTCCTTGTTATAGTAGTAATGTTGAATAATTGTAGTAGTTGTCATCGTATTGTAGTCCTTGTTATAGTAGTAATGTTGAATAATTGTAGTAGTTGTCATCGTATTGTAGTCCTTGTTATAGTAGTAATGTTGAATAATTGTTACAGTAGTCATTGTCGTAGTAATTGAATAATTGTAGTAATAGTAGTAGTTGTAGTAGCAGTAGTCGTCGTAGTAGTAATATTGAATAATTGTTGTAGTAGTCGTCGTCATTGTAGCAGTCGTTGTAGTAGTAGTAATATTGATTAATTATAGTAGTAGTAATAGTCGTCGTAGTAGTAATATTAAATAATTGTAGTAGGAGTAGTTGTCGTAGTAGTTGTCAAAGTACTAATGTTGAATAACTAGTAGTCATTGTTGTCATAGTAATTGAATAATTGTAGGAGTAGTAGTTGTATTAGCAGTAGTCGACATTATAGTAGTAGTCGTCAAAGTAGAACTGTTGAATAATTGTCGTAGTAGTAATCGTTGTAGTTATATTGAATACTTGTAGTAATAGTAGTAGTAGTCATCATTGTGGTGGTAGTAATATTGAATAATTGTAGTAGTTGTAGTAGCAGTAGTCGTCATAGTAGAAATGTTGAAAAATTGTCGTCGTCATTGTAGTATTAGTAATATTGAATAATTGTAGTAGTAATAGTAGTAGTAGTCGTCCTGGTCATAGTAGTAGTAATTTTGAATAATTGTAGTAGCAGTAGTCATCATCGTTGTCGTAGTAGTAATGTTGAATAATTATAGTAGTCGTTGTCATCATAGTAATTGAATAACTGTAGTAGTTGTTATAGTAGTAGTCGTAGTAGAAATGTTGAATAATTGTCTTAGTATTAGTCGACATCATTGTAGTAGTCGTTGTTGTAGCAGTAGTCATCATCATAGTAGTTGTAGTAGTAATGTTAAAATATTGTAGTAGTCATGGTTGTCGTCGTAGTAATTAAATCATTGTAGTAGTAGTTGTTGTAGTAGTCATCGTAGTAGTAATGATGAATAATTGTAGTAGTAGTCATTGTAGTCGTCGTCGTAGTAATAATGTTGAATAATTATAATAGTAGTCGTCGTTGTTGTAGTCGTTGTTGTAGTCGTTGTCGTTAGTAGTCTGCTGGAACTACTTTAGCTGTGTGCTTATCATGAGCCAATCAGAATCAAGCATTCAACAGAGCCAAAGTGTCTAATTTAATTTAAAGGTACAGTCCACCCAAAAACTGAATATTCTGTCATCGATTTCTCTTTTGTTTGAAACCTTTAGGAGTTTCTTTCTTCTGTTAAACACTAAAGAAGATATTTTGAAGAATGCTATAATTATTGACTTCCATTGTGGAAAAATAAATACTGTAGAAGTCCGTGGATACAGCATTCTTCAAAATATCTTCTTTTATGTTCAACTAAAACTCAACAAAACTCATAAAAGTTTGGGAAACACTTGAGGCAGAGTATAAAGTGAGTAAATGATCATTTTAAGTGAACGAACCCCTAAAATTTTCAAATCTTGTGGCAGTCCGTCACCTTTATGTGCATATCCAACACATTTAGAGCAATAATTTAGACACTAATCAACAATTGAAAGTCAAGACATTGTTCTCTAATTCTCAGTGTGTAACTGTGACGTAAACTGTGGTGTAACTCCACACTCCCACTAACCTCACATTCACCCTGAAAACAGTCTTCTGGACCACAGATATATTTATACAGAGCTGCAAACAGCACAGTGTTCCCACGCAAATAATACAGATCTGCTCTCTGCTGCTGCCGCTGCTCACGTAATATTGAATAATTGAATGAATGCATGAATATTTCAGACAGTAAAAGTGACGCATAATGAGGTGGAGATGGCGAATAAGAGACATTCTGCTCATGTTGAAGGACAGATAGTTGAAGAGCACAGTAAAACAGCGGGTTTACTGCATTTTTAATGTGTTACAGAAGTAAATGTCAAACACAAGAAACGGCGGAGAGCAAAGTTAAATCATCAATCATAAATTGGCATGAGTGTACAAAAAAACTTCTCCTTATGCATTAGTAGTAGTAGTTTTAGTAGTCGTTGTTGTATTCGTAGTCGTTCTAGTAGTAATAGTAGTTGTCGTTGTAGTACTAGTCTTAGTAGTCGTGATAATAGTTGTAGTTGTCGTCATAGCAGTAGTCGTTTTAGTAGTCGAAGTAGTAGTCGTAATAGTAGTTATAGTAGTTGTAGTAGTAGTAATAATAGTAGTAGTTGTCATCATAGCAGTAATCACAGTCGTTGTAGTAGTAGTCTTTATAATAGTAGCCGTAGTAATAGTAGTAGTTGTCGTCATTGTAGTAGTAGTCATCATCGTAGTAGTTGTACTAGTTGTAGTAGTAGTAGTAATAATAGTAGTAGTTGTCGTAGTAGTAGTCATCCTAGTTGTAGTAGTTTTAGTAGTAGTCGTCGTTGTTGTATTTGTAGTCATTGTAGTAGTTGTAGTAATAGTAGTAGTTGTCGTCATTGTAGTAGTAGTCATCATCGTAGTAGTTGTACTAGTTGTAGTAGTAATAATAGTAGTTGTCATCGTCGTCGTAGTAGTAGTCATCCTAGTTGTAGTAGTAGTAGTAGTCGTCGTTGTTGTATTTGTAGTCATTGTAGTAGTTGTAGTAATAGTAGTTGTCATTGTCGTTGTAGTACTAGTCGTAGTAGTAGTAGTTGTTGTCGTAGTAGTAGTCATTGTAGTAGTAGTAGTCTTCATAATAGTAGTAGTCGTAGAAGTAGTCGCAGTTGTAGTAATAGTAGTAGTAGTTGTCATTGTTGTTGTAGTAGTAGTCTTCTTAATAGTAGTAGTTGTAGTAGTAGTAGTTGTTGTCTTCGTCGTTGCAGTAGTAGTCATTGTCGTAATAATAGTAGTAGTAGTAGATGTCGTCATCGTCGTAGTAGTAGTTGTTGTAGTACTAGTAGCTGTTGTTGTAGTAGTAGTCGTCCTAGTAGTAGTAGTCATTGTAGTCGTCGTTGTAGTAGTAGTAGTCATCATAGTAGTAGTAGTTACAATGTTTTCTATTTACTTTATAGTCATTTGACAAATTAGAATTTTTCAGTAACACAATAGGTGCTTTTCCTAGTTTTTAGTTACTTTTATAATTATGTAACTCAGTTACTATTCGTGAGAAGTAACTATAACTCTCCTGCTATAACACTGCTCCCTAAAAAAGTAACTAGTTTCGTTACTTAGTTACTTTTTCTGGAAAGTAATGCATTACGTTACTTTTGAGTTACTTTTTCATACCGGGCTTGATCTCATTCAGAACTTGCCAGGGTTTTTCCTTTATTTACCAGAGGAGCTCTGCAATCAACAACACACTGCATAACCTTCATTAACCTTTACAAAACACACTCAAAAACGTATAATTTAGGACATGGATGCCTAAACTAGAGCCCACAGGCCGAAGTTGTCAACACAATGTTTTGTGAAAACAAATAAAGATTTGTGAGTTGGCTTTTTGGTTTATATAGGTTAATATTTAACTCTATAGAAGTGCCCTGCATGATATTTCAGTCAAGCAACAAGGCAGAAAATGTAAAACTGGCTCTCAGTTGGTTTAAACTGTAAGTACAGACACATATTTTGAGTCCCGAGCCACAAACTGTGTAAATGAGGGCCAGAACACGGCGATCCTGGAGGTGCTCCTAAACTCTGATGTCATTAGTGGTTTGCTAATAGCAGGGTGTGTCTGTGAGGGGTGTGGCTTCAGTAACTCCGCCCTCCTGTGGTTTGTGGTCGTGCACTTCCTCCTTTTTTCCTGGAGGAAAGCTGAACAATGCTGACACACTGGGAGAATCCTGAGAGTTCCTTTATATCAGCCCTGAGAAGTGTACAGTTCATAAAGATATGAAGATACAGGATGAGATAATTAAGGAAACTGATCAAAGAGAGCATGCTGTGTTGTGAATGCTGCCAGTTTTATCAGAGCTCGGCCTTGAGCGTCTTGTTTGCTTTATTTACTGCTGTAACATGGGTGGAATAATGCCTACGAATGTCATTAAAACAGAGCTTTATACAGTTAGTGTAGTTATTAAGCTTTTAGTCTGGGTGCACAAGTTCAAGACTTAAATGTGCCCTTTAGTGCATTGATTCAACAAGCATCAATTATCAAGTATAATAGTATATCAAAGTATCAAGTATAATAGTAGGGTTGTGATATAGTTTCACAAATATGAAATATTAATATTTAAGTAATATTAATATTTAAATTAGTCTGGAGAAAGTCTTGTTTTATTTCGGCTAGAATAAAAGCAGTTTTTATTTGTTTTAAGGTCATTTTAAGCTCAATATAATGAACCACCTTCAGCAATATTTCAGAGTTACTGCAGGGTCTTAAAAATTCTTAGGGGGTCTTAAAATCCAAATTTTAGACCTTAAAAAGTCTTAAATTTGTGAAAATATAGTGTTGTAGGTCTTAAATCTGTTTTAAACGAGTCCTAATTTTCCTTTGTTCATGTATTGCTACCCAATCTGGCCAAAACTCACACAATCACCAACAATCATCTCAATAAAACTTTAAACTATTTATTTAAAAAGGCCATTTTAACTCTGTTTACCATAATGGTTAAATTATTTTCCTTACAAAAAAAATTGTTTAAAAGTGCTCCATGTATTTACTGCTGAGGACACTGACCTGGACAGATTGTTGTGCATAGGTTTAGTTTATTGTAGTTTTTAAAAAATGTAAAACATTTGCTCAATTTTTATTTCATTTTTTAAAAAGTTTATGTTGGAATACAAGTAGAGCTTGCTCATCTTTACACAATAGTAAAAATATTTTGTTAAGAAATTTTTAAAATATATATATTTTTATTATTAATATATAATTGTATTATTAAATTTAGTTAATTACTTACCTATATATGTATGTGTATATATATATATATATATATATATATATATATATATATATATATATTAGGGATGCAACGTTACAGTTAGCCTACAGTTCAATACATACCTGGATTTATTTATTTATTTTTTTTACATGGTTTTCGCTTTGCTTCGGACAGTGATATCGCTGGGTGCTGCAGATGTAAAGTCTTGTTATACACGTGTAAAACATTGA